ATTCTAGCCTTAGATGCTTCAAAAATTTATGATCCTTGCAAATGACAGTTTTTTGAGTTAGAGGTAGTTTTGTCAATGTTCTAACGCCCTTATAGGCGCATAAATCTTTATATCATAATGTTGGATAGCTCATGGCTGCCTTTTTTTAGATTTTCCTTGAAGTAATCAATAGGTTGCTTCATTTATTACTACAATTCTAAAGAGATAAAAAAAAAATCATTAATGTCTGGCCTTATTTATTAACGTTAACAGACTGTTTAGATTTGTCTTCTAGAAGAAAAGTCATTGTTAGAGCACAACATAGTGTAATCCAAGAAAAATAAAGTCTGTTTGAAACTAGAGAAAATGGAAATAACAAAGCTGAAAGCATGACTTTCTTGAGGATCAACAGCAAATTTTTGAGGCAGGTTTAAGAACAATAATTACAATTGAAAGTCATATGAATGGAAGAATTGGAGAAATAAGGCTAAATCCACTAAGGAAGGCAAGATGATTCATGCTTCTTATTAAAAAAAACATGGAAAAAAAAAGCTACAGTGTGTTCACCAAAGTTATCTACCTCTACAAGCATCACTCACTTCTTTTTAGTTGTGGAACTTTTTCAGTTCTTCCTCTTACTAATACAACATAAGAATAGAAAATAGATCATCCAATAATATTGAAAAGAAGACTGAATTAAAGGACCAGAATTGAAATCCTTGCCTCTTCCACATTAATGAATTCTTTTTCTTTTTACGCAAGCTAAGATTTAGAACTACTAAATGTATATTTTACTATAAATTTAAATGAAAAAGGAAAAAAAGGAGGAAAGAAAGAAAAAGAAAAGAATGAAGGAAGAAAGTATCATATTAAAGCTTAAGTTCTACCTCTATAATGCACTAATGTAGCTGGTGTTGAATAACTTTAGACGAATACATAGGTTAAGTGGCATACATATAGCAAATGCATTATTCAACAACTATGAAAAAAAAAATGAGTCCTTACTTTTTCTTGGAACCAATTATACCAACACTATCCCCTTCTCTTAATTTACCTAAAAGAGAAAATCAATAAGCTATAATTGATCATAAAACTTGATGGCGTACCCACTTCCCATTGATGAACTTTTCATTACAAGCTCATATTTAGAACTACCAAATGTATGCACTATTGCAAATTTAAATGAAGGAAGAAAGAAAGAAAACAAGGAAGAAGAAAAAAAGAAGAAAAAAAGAGGAAAGTAAAAAACAAGGAAAGAAAGTTTTCTACCAAAGCTTAAAATCTACCTTTAAAATACATCTCACTTTTATTGAATCCTGCATAACTTTTGAGTAATACAAAGAATATGACTAACAATTGCATCATTTAATAAATATGGAGAGAAAAATCTTCTTCTCAATAATAATTATAAAAACATCCTCCCCTTCACTTGGATTGACTAACAGAGTACATCAATATGTTACAGGTTATTATAAAACTTGATGATATACCTCTTTCTCTTAAGTAATCTTTTCAATGCAAGCTTGGATTTGAACCTACAAAAGGCATATAAATTTAAATGAAAGAAAAAAAAGGAAATGACAAAAGAAATAAGGGAAAAAAAAATTTCTACCAAAGTTCGAACTCTACCTCTACATTAAATAACTTGTTAGAAGTGAATGTCATATAAGCTATGAGTAACACATAGATTATACAACATATGGATAATAATTGCATAGTTTAATAAATATGAAAATAAAAAGTTCTCTTTGGGACAATGATTATGTCATAATCCTCTCATTCCCTTAAATTACATAAGTGATTAGGTCAATTTGATATAAATTATCATAAAACTTTATAAGGTACCAAATGGACATGTCGATAAAATTTAATAAATAAAGAAACAAGGAAAAGAGAAAAACAACTTTTCTCAAGCACAAATTCTACCTTTAACGTGTTACTCACTGTCATAGAATATTGCATAACCAAAGAAGAATACATAAGTCACATACAAACTGAATGACAAATGCATTGTTCAATAATTATATAATTAAAAGGATGTTTTACCTTTTATTAGCACTAACTATGTTGAATCATCTCCTTCTCTTAACCCATTAAAAAGATCACTTCAATATACTATATGTTATCATAAAACTTGACAAGGTACCTTTTTTCCACTTGTGAACTTTTACAAGTAAGCTCAAATTTATAAATGTACACTTTACTACAATATTTTAATGAAGAAGGAAAAAATACAAAAAATAAAAGAAAGAAGGAAGAAAGAAAATTTCCTATTAAAACTCAGATTCTACCTCTAAAATGTATCAATAACTATCAATGAGTGTTACATAGAAACATATAAATTACGTTAAATATAAATAGCATATGTAACCTAAGAAAAGGAAAATGAAGCATTACTTCTTCTTGGCAACAAATATGCCAACATCATCTTCTTCTTTGGACTTGCCTAAAAGAGTAAATAAATACATTACAACTGATTATAAAACTTTACTTCCATCTCATTGGTGAATCTTCATTGCCAGTTTGGATTCAAAACTACAAATGCATGTATCACTTTAAATTTAAATAATGAAAAAAAGAAAGAACGAAAGGAAATAAAAAAGAAAGAAAGTTTTCCACTAAAACTCATAATCTACCACCAAAATACATCACTCAGTAGTACTGGATCCTGTATAACCTATGAGTAATACATAAATTATTTATCACATAATAGCAATTAAATCATTCAGTAAATAAGAAAAGAAAATTTCACTTTTAAAAATATGCCAACATTCTCTTCTTCTCTTAGATTGCCTAACATATGACATTAATATGCTATAAATGACCATAGAATTTAATAATTTATTATTTTTTATTGGTAAATGTTCCCTTACAAGCTTGGACTCAAAGCTACCGGAGGCATATATTGCTGTAAATTTAAATGAAAGAAAAAAAAAATTGAAAGAAGGAAAGGAAGAAGGAAAAAAAAGAAAATCTTATAGTGAAGTTTGGAATCTACCTCAGCAATGCATTGTTGGTTATAAGTACATCACATAACATATGAGTAATATACAAATTTATACAGCATACAAATAGTAATTGCATTACTCAACAAATATGAAAATAAAAAATCCTCTTTTGAGCAACTATCATGCGAACATCCTCCTCCATTCTCTTAACTTGGATACCTGATCACATCAATTTGATATAAGTGATCATAAAATTTGATAAGATATTATTTTTTTTATTTTGAACATTTTAATGCAAACTCATTGAAAAAAACAAACAGACCTATCACAACAAATTTAAATGAAAGAAAGAAAGAAAAAATAAATAAAAGAGAAAATGGAAAAAAAAAAGACTTGTTTTTCAAAGCTCAAATTTTACCTTTGAGACATCATTTGTTATTAGTGAATGTTGCATAATCTATGAAGAATACATAACATAAGAATAACACATGCATAATTCAGTAACTATAAGCAAAAAAGAATATTTTACCTCTTATTAGCAATAACTATGCCAACGTCATCCCTTTCTCTCAACATGTCTAAAAGACCACTTTAATATGATATATATGATCATGAAACTTAACAAGGTGCCTCTTTATCATTGGTGGACTTTCCAAGTAAGCTTAGATTCAGAACTATTAAACACACATTTTACTATAAATTTTTATGAAAAAGAAAGAAATAAGAAAAGAAAGAAAGACAAAAGAAAAGAATGAAGTTAGAAAGAAAGTTTCTTATGCAAGCTTGGATTTCAAGCTACCTAATGCATGTATGACTGCAAATTTAAATTAAGAAACAAACATAGAAATAAAGAAAAAAAATAAAGAAATGAAAGAAAAAAAAGAAGGAAAGAAAAAAGTTTTGTACCATATCTCGAGTTCTACCTTTAGAACGCATTAGTCACTTTCAGTGAATGCCATAAAATCTATGAATAACATATAAGTTATGAAGTATATAATACTAAATGCATCATTAAATAACTGTGGAAAGCAAAATTAATATTTTTATCTTCTCAGCAACAATTATGCGAACATCATCCTCTTCTTTTGGCCTATCTCATACACATCAATGTGCTATAAGTGATCATAGATATTTAATGTACCTCTTTGCCAGATCAACTATTCATGCAAGCTTTGATTCAAAGCAAACAATTCTATTTATCACTGCAAATTTAATCAACAGAAAGAAACAAAGAAAATAACTTTTCTCCCAAAGCTCAGATTCTACCTCTAATGCATCAATCAATGAGTGTTACATAAAATATAAGGAATATGTAGATTATGTAGTATTCCTATACCAAATACATTTGATAAAAAAATAAAGGAAGAAAGAAGGAAGGAAGGAAAGAAAAGCAAAGCAAAGAAAAGTCTTTCTCCTCGTGAATCAATCAGTGCAAGGATGACTTACCAAATGTATGAATAACTGCATATTTAAATAATGAAATAAATAAATAAATAAAGAAGGAAGAAAAGAAAAACAAAGAAAAGAAAAGAAAAGTCTTTTTCCTCGAAAAGAAGTGTAGGTATAACTGCAAATTCAAAAGAATAACGAAAAAGAGAGGCAAAACAGAAAATTATAATGAACTTGTCTCCCTCACGGGGTGATAAAAAAATCATTTGGATACATAAAAGAACATAAAAAACAAAATGTGAATTTTTTTCTTGGTAACTAAACATGTCAAGAAGTAAAAAACAAATGAATTTGTGACTAAAGTGCATTCTTTTTCTCCAAACAAATTGAAAACTGAAAACTGATGATGAATTTGGAAGACGACCAGAATCTGTAGAACTCTTCAAATTATCGAACGTGACAAAATATTAATAGGTCTGGGTGTTAATGAAAATAATAAATTAACAAACAAAGTAAAATTTTTATTTTTATTCACTAATTATTATGCGTCACGTGGCAATCAATCAATAAAACATCATGTCACCTATTCATTGTCTATCAGACCAACAACACGTGCATTATATACGACACATAGGTTTTTCTCATCCTATTCAATTAAAATTATATATGCCTATACAGAGTTAAAACACCAAGTGCGTAAATCCAGTCACTGCTCTGATTAGATCTTTACCTTGCCGAGTGATTGCTTTGATTCCTACGATTCCAGTGATTCTGATAGGGACCCAAAACGCTGCTTTTGCTATTATTTTTGTGCTTCTTGCCTGTTATAGCTCGCAAAGCTGAGTCAATCTGAGCATGACTTGGGGGAGACGAGGCTCACTTGATGACAAGAGGCAGAGGGAGGGTGAAGAAGGTGTGGTTGAGGTGGGCTAAGGCAGTGAGGAACTGGTAAGGGAGGACTTCTTCAAAAGCGTGCTGGGTTAGGGACATGCAATGAGCATAGACTGTTTTGCAAGCCAAGTCAAACGAACATAAGTTGGCTAATGAATAATTTCATCCACAGGAGGAGAATAACTAAATCTATAGTACGATGATTTATTCAAAGCTTGCTGCTTTTAATGGTGAGTGATTTTCTTATTCACTGCAAACCAAATAATTAAGTTCACTAACTGGAGATGGGGCAGAGAAAAGAAAACAAGAGAAAATCAATAAGCATTTAGCATGCGTTGCGAGGATTTTAATGGAGGGAAATGGGTACTTTCTCACCTGTTTAACTTCAGATTTTTAGATCCTGCAATTATTTTTCGATTAAACAACTGTAATCACGTTATTAACTCTCCAAATTTTTGCTCTCCACAACTTCTGGAGCTTCGGTTGTTGATTAACTTTTTTGTCTTTAATTACCTATCAATTTTTTATCTGAAGTATTAGTAAAGAACATTTGCTCCCTTCGTTAATTTTCGGCACAAATCCAAACACACAATCGAGTTTCAGTCCTTGAAATTGGGGGAAATTCCTCTTCTTCTTCTTCTTCCTTTGGTGCTTTTCGCGCAATTCCATGAGAAACCGAGGTCTGATCCGAAATAAGAACAATTAAGCACGGGCAGCTTCTTCTTTCTTCTTATATTAGCGCTGAGCTTATTTTCAGAAGAGGAAATTGCTCGCAGACAGAGGAGCTCGTCGAGGTCTGACGAAGAAACTCATGACTGGAGAATGCTGTAACTGTCATCTCTTATCTTTTGTTCTTGTCTCTTTTCCCTTCTGCTTTGTTTCAATGTCATGATCACGAAAACACCACAGACAAGAAGAAGAAGAAGAAGAAGAAGAAGAAGCGAGCTGTAGCAGAGCAGAGTGACGTGTCGCTGACGTGGTATGGTGGCTTGAACTTTTGCATTTTAATTGGATGAGCTCATTGATTACGTGGTGGAGACACAGTCAAGGAAGTAGTAATGGTCAAGGTATCAAAGTCGTTTCGAATCGCGACAAAAGAGGAAAACCAAATATCCTATACCAAACAATTTCGAAGCTTTCAAACGTGATTCTCACCTACCATTTCTATTTCATCAACTACCGAAGATTCTTTCAATTCTTTGTAATTTTGAATTTGTTTGACTTTGTAGGATCATTTATCTGATTCCAAACTCTTCTCTCATTAATCTAAGTCAAAGAGGAGGACGAGAAGAAGAAGAAGAAGAAGAAAACCTCCATTCCCTTTCAAGGTATTCGTTTTCATCTATCTGGTTCTGATAAAGATTTAGGAGCTATTTTTCGAAATCTGCAATCGCTTGATCGATATAATGAAATTTAGGGAAACATTACTGTCTTTTAAATAGTAATTTTATACTCAAGCGAACATCAAATGGTTTGATTAGAAAGAAATAAGTGTTGAAATCTGAACGGACTATAGCTGAAGCATTCTCTTGTTTCTGAGCAATGTGCAAAACGATTACAAGCAATTACATATTTACATCCTTGCGTAGTGTCATATTTTCCTTATCTCATGTGCTATATATTTTTCATATTTTCCTTGTTTACTAAAAAATTTTTCATCCCACAGTCAAGAGGGGGAAAAGCGATATACATGTGTATATCATGCATTTTTTTTTCTCTCCTTTCTGAAGCTTCTTTTAAGAGAATTGTCGTGGATTATTCTACTCTCCTGAAAAAGAAAACAGAAGAAAGAGATTAATCAGATAATAGGACTCTACACTAAAATGTTGGTTTATTCTAATGAAAGACCAATAGCGGAAGGGCATTGAGACTTTCTTGGCTGCACTTAGAATTTCTGTTTTTCTTTTGGGGTTGGGGGGGTTGAGGGAAGAGCAAGTGCAGGTTAAAAATTTATAAGGATTATGGTGATGTATAATTAGTTGGAGAACTACAACAGTCAAGTCTTTTTGCCTAACTTTTTCATACATGATCTTTCTTTTAGTAGTAACCACAATTTACACTATCTTATGACCATGCTGTTTACTATGAAACTTTGGTATCAATACTAGTGATATTACCCAGTGAATCTCCTAGCTATTGTTGATTCAATATTTTCCTTATGGTGACAGTAATACACATAATCAAAATTTGGTTTCCATAATAGAGAACTAAAGTGTTATCTCAAAGAAAAAATAGAGAACTAAAGTGGATTATATTTGTTTCCAGATGGTAACTGAAAGCCCAAGGTTCACCGTGGATGAAGCTCTTCTGGCCACAGGATTTGGCAAATTCCAACTTTTTCTGCTTGCTTATGCTGGCATGGGTTGGATTTCAGAAGCAATGGAAATGATGCTTCTCTCGTTTGTAGGACCTGCAGTTCAGTCATTTTGGGGTCTATCTTCTCATCAAGAGAGCCTGATAACCACTGTTGTTTTCGCTGGCATGTTAGTTGGGGCATATTCATGGGGTGTTGTTTCAGACAAATATGGACGGAGGTAGGCTTTTATAATTTTCTTGTTCTGCATATGCTATCTTTTTATACTCAATTTGCCTTTTGTATTATGTGAAAATTTTGACAAAATTTGTTGCAAATGTCATATACTGTTATGCCCCAATTATTAACAAAGAAAAACGAGAAAACAGAAGAAGGAGGTGGCAAAAAAAAGCAGCTGGAAAGTTGTTGGCAGAAAAGATTATGGTTCCAAAAATATATATGAGCAGTTGATTTCTCCCATGAGCCATAAACCCTCCTAAAGAAAGGAATTTACATGGTTGGCTCAAGGTTTCACTCTCACCAGATACACAACTAATTCCAAAGCAGAGGATCATATCAAACTGGTTTTAGTGCCAGGTTCAACCTGATATGTTCTCATGTTCTATATCTGCTTATCAGCCTGCTGGGAGTGAATCTTGTGTTAAGGAGTAGAGATCTTCTCGTGTACTTTTGTTAAGGGGGAAGGTATGAGGAAAGCAGCCTAACTGCCCTGGGAAGGTGTTATCTTTGCACGATTGTGGTGCATATGGCATGCTCGTAACTCTAGAATCTCCAACAATAGACACATTCCATACTATAAGTTGTTGGAATGGGTCACCTTTTTGGCATCTTTATGGGCCAAAAGCACACGATCATTTTCACGACACTAGCATTTTGGATCTAGACCCTAACTGGCAACTCATTGGATTGCTATTTTTGCAGAAATATATGGAAATAGGAAATAGGCTCCCACGAGCGAGAATTCAGGGGTTTCCTAATTCGTTTAGAATCTCTCAATTTGTTGGGCCAATAACTTCCCTTTTTTTTTATTTTTCTTTTTTATAACTATGTTTTTGTGTCCTTTCAGGAAAGGATTCATCATTACTGCGGTGGTGACTTCTTTGGCTGGTTTTCTGAGTGCCTTTTCCCCCAATTATATCTCGTTGGTTATTACTCGTTGTTTGGTTGGCCTTGGTTTGGGAGGAGGCCCTGTGCTGTCATCCTGGTTTCTGGAGTTTATTCCGGCTCCAAACAGAGGCACATGGATGGTTATTTTTTCAGCATTTTGGACTGTTGGAACACTTTTTGAGGCTTCACTAGCATGGGTATGTCCTAATGCTTATGGTTTAATTTATTCTTTTGTTTGTTAGTGCACTTTCTTGATTGATTAATGTTTTTTCTCCAACAAAAAAGTTTTTCGTGGGCTCTGAAAATTTCTGAATAAGAAAAAAATTAAAGAATCTTCACTTGCAGCTGCTTTTGTTTGATACTTCTTTTATATTTATGCGATTGCTGATATTGGATTTTATCGAGTACTACGATGTAAAAACCTGTAAAGGTGATTCCTTCTTTCCTTAACACTGAAAGGTTCGTTTATAGATTGAGGGAGCCATAACGGAAGATGAGATTAAAAGCTTTATGCACTTTGATCTTGGTCTTGCATTCAGGTCTGATGGTGTATCACCCTAAAATTTTGGCTCTGAGAATTGGAGCAAATTTGAGTTGATGCCAAGGACCAAGCTGCAAAGAGGAATGGAGTGGGCAATAACTGGTACCCAGTGACAGGGGTGCATAGAGGTTGAGGACAAGGTGTGATAAGCAGAATAAAGAGAACATGGAGTGGGGATTCTGACAATTAGCGCGGTAATTGATGGTTGGATTGCCTACACCAGTAAAGATTGCGTGTTGGTGATGGTGCCAGTGTTGATTATAAAGAAGGATTTGAAAGGACCAAGCTTGAAATTGGGGCTATGGTTGTTCCAGGTCAAAAGATTTGGATTAGCTTACAAGTGTAGACAGAAAAATAAAAGACAATAGGATCTACGATTCTATTACCATGAAAACTGGATGCATGTAGCAGATGTTCTTAAGATGACCTTCTTCACACATCCTGATCACTTTAGTTCTTAGTCATGCCATTTGGGTCCACCTAGTGCTCCCTCAACTTTCCAGGCCTTAACGAATGATATTTTTCTGCTATATCCACAAAAATTCATCTTAGTATGGTCTTCTCTATTATCAGACAAATACCTTATTTCTCAAAAAGTCTGAAGAGTTTGTTTGGGAAGCCACAAGTGGTTTATTTGGCTCATGTCATCCAGGAAGATGGTGTAATCGCATATTAGAATGAAGTTTCAGCCATGCTACAGTGGCTGCTATCTTCTAATGTCCATGGGTTGGGTAGATTTCTGGGTCTTGGCGAGCTATTATTTTATATTTGTCTGTAAGCTTGTCGTTATCACGGTCCAATATGTCAATGTGTTGGTAAAGACTTATTTTGTATGAAATCCAGATGCTATTGCTATTTTTTGAGAACTTGAAGAAAACCATGGCAGAAACTTAAATACCCGCTCTCCCCAGCATACCATTTTCTTGGTGGAATTTGATGTTTTTATATTGGTGTGATATTGCAGCAATCTGGCCAACCACTAGCATTTTTACTCAACCTTTGTCATCTCTATTCACCAACTTATGAAAAGGCGGTAATCGATCTCGCCAAAGCCATTTGCTATTGGGGACTATTGGGACCTGACTTTGACATGTATTCCACTAGAACCGAAAATCAGCAAAAAAATTAATTTTTAAATAATTATGGTAGAAATTTGGAGAGAGAACATTAATTTTTAGAGTGACCGAGAGAGAGAGAGACTTTTTAGAGAGAGAGAAAACAGAGGGAGAAAGAATGTTAGAGAGAGAAGGATAAGTGGCAGAAAGAGAAGATAGCCAAGAAGAGAGAGAGAGAGAGAGAAGATAGCCGAGAGAAGAGAGAGAGAGAGAGAATTTAGAGAGAGAAAGTTACTGAAGAAGGAGAATACAGAGATTTATGATATTAATGTCCAAAAATTACATGCTTGGGTTGTGTTTATAACTTATTATTTATATACGGGAAAGGGTACATGAAATCTCTATCAACTATTGCCGTTGGTGTTGGAAAGGTGAAGAGAGTCGATGTTCAGAGGAGTCTGTTCCATCGGTTGTGTCGAATGGAGGAAGAAGATGAAGAGGCGGCTAGGTACACGCGTGAAGAAGTGCTCCAGAGATGAAAGGTCGGCTTGGTTCACTGAAGAGAAAGAAATAGTTCAGGACAGTCCAACGCCTCGGTTTTTGGGGCTTTAGTTACCCTCTCCCCAATCGTGACATGTGTCTCTTTAGTTTTCTCAAATTCTGCCATGTGGCCCGAATGGTCTTCCAGTGGGAGAATACGTAGTCGACACGTGTAAACCCTTATGGGTTTGATAATGTGCGGTTAGTTCTATCTTCCTCTTTCTAGTCCATTTTTTCGATTCCCTGCGACCGGTTTCACTGTTTTCTTCGTGCACTCGTCGTGATTTCTTGCTTTCCTACTCACTTTTTGTTCTTTGCAACTAGTCCTAAATAATTCCATCCCCTTGAGAATTAACCTTGTCATCAAGATTAAGGATTAACTTTCAAACATTTAGTGTTAAAGATTATTATTATTATTATATATTTATTTCAGAAAAAATTATTATTATACATACATATTTTTTCATTGTGCTACTCGAATAATCCTCTACTATGTCTTGCAGAGATAGGGTTAATGATCTTTTGCATTATCCTATTGCTCGTCCTCTGGAGGTCATCTTCACCTTTTCTTTCCTCTTCTTTACAGCTCTCCATTGTTGTAGTTATTTTTTAATATTAATGCCTTATTTTCCTCGCATCTATAGCAAAAATTATTTTCTTTATTCTAAATGATTTCAACCCCTCAAGGGTGCTGCTTTTTAAAAATTTTGAATTTTGAAGAAATTTTCATCGATGGGAACACTTTATTTGAAAGAAGTTGTAGGGTTTTTCGGCTAATTGTGACGGTTGATGACATCTACTGCTTGTTTTTATTGCAAAGCAAACTCAAATGCTTGAGTCAATATACACAGCCTGTGCATTCTCATTGTAGGTCGAAGTTCGTCTTTCAGACTACTTATAAAATTGGAGATAGAATATTTTTTAGAAAGTTCACGATTTTCGGTTAATAATAGAGACCTCATTTCCTCAATTTTTTTTTAATATTGTAGGACGGTATTCTCTTATATCAATTTGTTGAATTCCTCACCATTGTCTACTCCATCTAATCCTCCGAACTTTTTATACAATTTCACCTTAAATATTTCTTATTCAAACATATTAGGGTCATTTGCTAACCCATGGAATCAAATTTATGCCTTGTCTTCAAAACAAATCGAACTTGTTTCCACTTTACTTTCTTCTGAAATGTTGAAAATATGAAAATACTTATTGCATATTTTAATCCATGTTCTAAGATTTTTCCTCTCAAATATAAGAATTTCAATTTTTGGGGTAAGGTTTCCTGTTTGGTTACCCCTCTGGTCTAAACTGCCAAACCCCATTTCTTTGATTCTAAGGTTTGATAAAATTTCTCTATTACTATTTAAAGTAGAGGCGGAGGGATTTATTCTTGTAGTTGATTCTCCAATGTGTGTTCTGTCTTGCAATAGTTCGGCTAGCCTTTTCAACTACTGACTAAACCTAGTTAGTCTTTGGTCTAAAATGGCTCGGGTTTGCTGCTGAGATTCATACATTTCAGACTGAAATTTCAAGAGTTTCTGGTCCACCTCACGTATATTTTATCCCAGAGTGGGCATTTTTTGAGAATCGAACACCGAGGCTTTGACATGCTACGATCCGACTGGCTTATTTTTCACCAAAGCCACAAAATTTGCAAGAGTTTCTTTATAATCGACCTACTCTGGTATCAAGTTGCTACGATCTGACTTTGACATGTACTTCATTGGAATCGGAAATCAGTAAAAAATATTTAAGTCTTAGATAATTATGGTAGAAATTTAGAGAGAGAGTATTAATTTTGAGAGAGACCGAGAGAGGGAGAGACTTTTTAGAGAGAGAGAAAACAGAGGGAGAAAGATTGTTAGAGAAAGAAAGAGAAGCGGCAGAGAGGGAAGATAGCCGAGAGAAGAGAGAGAGAGATGCGGCTGACAGAGAAGATAGCCAAGAAGAGAGAGAGAGAGAGAGAGTTTAGAAAGAGAAAGTTACTGAAGAAGGAGAATGTAGAGCTGTGATATTAATGTCCAAAAATTACATGCTTGGGTTGTGTTTACAAATTTGTTATTTATATTTATATGAAAAGATACATGAAAGCTCTATTAACCTTTGCCATTGATGCCGGAAATATGAAGGGAGTCGACGTTCAAAGGATTTCTTTCTGTTGGTTGTGTTGAATGGAGGAAGAAGATGAAGAGGCGGCTCAGTTCAAGCATGAAGAAGAAGCGCTCCAGAAACGAAGGGTTGGCTTTGTTCACCAAAGAGGGAGAAAGGGTTTAGAATGGTCCAATGCCGTGGTTTTTGGGGTTTTAATTACCTCCTTCCCAATTGTGACACGTCCCTCTAGTTTCCTCATATTCTGCCAACAGGTAAACATGCGACCGACACGTAAACCCTTATGGCCTTTGGTTCTGTGTGGTCAGTTCTATCTTCCTCCTTCTGCTTCTTGGTTTTTGATTCCCTCCGGCCAATTTCACTGTTTTCTTCATGCACCCATCCGCGCTTTCTTGTTTTCCTGCTCACTTTTGGTTGTTTGCAACCGGTTCTCAAGGGGACATTATTTGTGGAGGCTTCCTTTTATTGTCACACAGACCATTGTTGCCTCAAATTTTTTTTGGAGCAAAGTGTCAGCAGTTCTCCTCAACAACATTGGTTTAAGAAGCTAATGGGATTAATTTCACAGTTGAACATTTAAGAAGGTGTAGGCACAAAGTGGTTACAGATGCACTTTCTTGGCAACATGAAGATCAAGGTAAACTGCATACCATTTATATGCCTCAGTTATCTCTCTTTGATTCCTAAACCAGAGGTCTACCCCCTCTCCCGAATTTAGTTACTGATCCAGCATATTCAAAGTGGTCAAGTTTCCATGTTTTGTCCTACAAAGATCCTTACTCCTCCATAGGTAGTGGATTTATCTCTTGTCTGACTTGTCAATGTGAGAGAATTGAACACTTATAACCAGCTAGTCTACTCCAACCTTTTCCATAGCCTGTTCTAATTGGTGAGACATCTCCATCGATTTTCATTGAAGCCATCCACTCTCGCATGTTAAGAGTATTCTCCTTGTTGTGGTTGGTTCTCCAAGTATGCTAATTTTATCCCCATCACTGTTGTTACAGCTTGGTTTCTCTCACTCTTATACTGCTGTTAGTGTGTCACAACTGTTTTTTGGTCACATTTTTTATTTGTATCCCTACTAGAGTCCATAATCTCGGATCAAGATGCCATTTTTACTAGTTGGTTAGGGATTGAATTTTGTTGTCAATGTGGTAGTAAGCTTTGCTTTTCTTTTGCTTATCATCTTCAAACCAAATGCCCAGACTGAAGTGGTGAATCCCATTGTTGAAAGTACTTACATTTTCAAGTGATCAACCATGCAAATGGCTTGATTAGTCGCCTTAGGCAGAATATTGATACAATGTGGAGTTCCGCTTGATCTTACAATCTGGACCTTTTGAGGTCGTGTATGGCCATTGAACACCATGTTTACTGGCTTATTGTCCCAGTTTAGGTAAAATTGAAGCAACAGATTGCAAGCTCAAGGAACTGTCATGACATGTTAAAGTCCTTGCACATTCTCCTCCGACATGCTCAATCTATTGTGAAGACTCGATATTATGCACGTGATAGGGAGGTTTCTTCTGCTTTTTTTTTTTGGATAGAAAAAGGTATTATTAGAGAGAAAAGGAAAAAAGTATGATAAAAAGGATAAGTGAACCTCCTAAGACAACGGAAAAGAAAAGAGAAAGAAAGAATACGTAAGAACCAATGCACCACTTCTTCCCATGTCCTTGCAGAATAGATAAGGAGATATATCTGAAAAACGCATGAACCTTAGGCCAAGAAGAAGGAAAAGACGTCAATCTATCCCAAAGGAAGGATGGAGATAATTGGCGACCCTGAAGAATCTAACACTATGCTCTAACCACAATACCCATAAAACAGCAAAAGGAGCTCCTATCCACAATATCTTGGCATTCTCAGCCCTAATTCCACTTATTTCTAGTCAATAATAGGATCCTAAATTTGGAACTGTGATATCCTGCGGGAAATTGCTACAAAAAATTATTTGGGTGAAATCACTGGAGGGAAATGGCAGGATATCTTCAACCTCGAGATATGAGGTGATCTAAGGCTATCTTTTGATGATTTGGAAAGGGGAAGCTATTGTTATACTCCAATTTACTGGCAAAGTAAATGAAGAGAGCCGAAGAAGGAAGTGGTAGAAAAAAAGAGTAACAGGGAAGTAGTAGGTGCGGATCCCATGAGAGAGAAGAAATCGACTCTTCTGCTAAAGCAATTGATTGTGTTTTGGACTTTAGGCGTAATTAGGAAATTATGTATTTGCATTAGAAAGTCAATTAGGACTTTGGAATAGCATTTTCGTTTTGTTATTGAAAAGAGTTGGTTTTTCACCTAGATTTTTGGAAGCCAGTTACTGTGGCTTCCTTATATATCTGTTTGCAAACTTATACAATAAAAATGAAGTGGAAAATAAAGTGAACAAAAGTCGAGGGTACCTAATCCAGAAATCAATGGACTCTCTCCGGTGAGACATAAAGCCTAATTTGTGAGGAAACAATTGGTGAAATAAGCTGCATGCTTAACTCAAGATTTTACTCTTAGCAGGCCCATAATCAGACCTCAAACACGAGAAAATACAGGCTTCATAACCAGATTCCAAAGGCTGGACTGTATTGGATAATTTCTGTTTGGGTGGCAAGTTGATGGAGTTGAGTTTGGAATGAACCTACACAAACAGATTGGTTTTGATTGGGAGACTGGTAGTGATTTGCGGTGATTATGCGGCTGTTGTGGGTTTGGAGCTGATTTAGGGCTTCTCCTGGGACTTTACTGTTTGATGATTCTTCTTGCACTTGCATAGAGAGGTGGTAATTCACATTTGATTGGATTTGGAGCATGCAACAGGGCAGTAACAGACTGAGATGGATAACAACTTAAGGAAAGCAAGAAAGATAAAACAAATTCTAAAATAAACTGTCGCACATTGTGAAGGGTGACAATGAGCAAACAAAGTAAAGGATCAAGGATGGTTATGATAATGGGAAGTATGAGTTTCTTTCTATCATAGATTTCTTGTTACATTTTTCTTTTTTTATTTATGAATAAATAGACAGAAATTGAGGACTGCAAACGATAGATGATCTGATACCATGTTATACATTTCTGTTTATATGTATCAATTGTCTTATGAAGATGTTATACATTTCTGTTTATAGGCTAAGGTATGCTAATAAGAAGAAATAACCAAATAGGTAATACTGAGGTATATAGGAAATGATAAAATAACAAGAGACTAATCAACCTAGAAAATATGAAACTACTGCGATAATGAAAACTATTCTGTCATAGGATAAGATTCCTATTATGCTAACAAAGTGACACCAGTTAAGAAGTTGGGTATTGTTAGTCTATTTATTCATAATTGGTCGGTCGTTATCCTGCAGTCACACTCTATTTTTTGCTGTCCAAGGCAATGGGCTAAAGCTTGTATGTGTCAATGAATTTGGCAAACAGAAGGTAGTTCAATGTTTTAAACTATACCCAGATAACCAGTACTTGTCTTCCAAGGAAGAGGTCAGGTCTTTGGAACTTGAGCCCTGCTCTGGGGTTTTATCACCCTTCTCCTCCAAGGGGTTTTCCCTGCCTCCTTGGAAGACAGAAGTTTGTTGTTGTCTTTTCACTTCCCTACAAAGAAATATGGTATAAATAAATGCTGAATAACTTAAGAAGTAGTTTTCTTGCACTTTAAATTCGGAACAAGCATAGCCTTTCTCCCCACTGTTTCAAGTATTTTACTGGCATTATAAAGTTTATATGTTCTTATTACTTTTCCTATAAGTATTGAAGCTTTTTCAATATAAATAGAGGGGGGGAAAAGTACTATAGGAAGTATCCTCACTATGATGTATTTGTTGCAGTTAATTATGCCAAGATTTGGTTGGAGATGGTTACTTGCACTGTCTTCTCTTCCTTCCTCACTGCTTCTCATATTTTATAAAATGACACCAGAGTCACCAAGATATTTATGTTTGCAAGATAGAAAGACAGAGGCAGTTAGTGTTTTAGAGAAAATAGGAAAAACAAATGGAAGGACACTGCCTTCTGGGATTCTTGTTTCTGATCATGATAGTGCTGAACCACATGGAAAAACGCATTTGCTTTCGCCTACAAGAAATCAAGAGCAAACTCTTCAGGGGAGTTTTGATTCTAAAGTGGATTCTAAAGCAGGTGGCATGTCTTCATTATTAATGCTATTTACACCAGAATTACTTAAGCCAACCTTGCTTTTATGGGTAGTATTTTTTGGAAATGCATTTGCATATTATGGCCTTGTGTTGCTGACTACTGAACTTAGCAACGGACAGCAGATCTGTAAATCAGTTAAGTTGCAGGCAGAAAAGTCCCAGGATGTTAATTATAAAGATGTTTTCATCACCAGTTTTGCAGGTATCTTTATCAATTGCTAGGAAATTCTCAATATATTCTCATTAGATGTATTATACATGTACTTTAGCAAGCTATGAACTCTAATCAAGTCTCCGAAGTTCAAATATGGAGACAATTACTTGTCATTCTTCTTTTTAAATTTATATGTTGTCAGTATCAATTGTTTACCACTAAAACTCAAGTTCTTTCTGAGTGTTAAATGTTTATTTGGCATTTAATTTTTTCTTCTACTCTTTGCACATATATCAGTATTCAAGTTGTCCTGAATTTGTTAGGTTACTAATCTAAATTAGATTGTTTTTCTTAATAAATCTAAGAGTTCTTCTAATCTACAATATTTGACTTTAACTATCCGTAAACTGCTTTAAGAAAACATATTCATGACAGAAAAAATCTTTTTGGAAGTTAATTAATGTTTATAAGAAAATATTATAATACACCTGTCCTTCCCCTATTTTACTTACTGTACGTAGTGTACTATCATTCTCTAATTAATTCAACAATACTTTCATTTGCAAAGTATAGACTAACACCTTCCTTTAATTTTGTTGAAGAGTTTCCTGGGCTGCTTATAGCAGCTGCCACAGTTGACAGACTTGGTCGTAAACTTTCTATGTCAGCTATGTTCTTCAGCTGTTGCATTTTCCTGCTCCCATTAGCATTTCATCAGCCTGAAGGTTTAACAACAATTCTTCTTTTTGGTGCTCGCGTATGCATTACAGGAACTTTTACAGTTGCATATATATATGCTCCAGAGGTAACTCATAGTTGTCAAATTTTTAATGTCAATTTTCATTTCAAGAGGATATAGACATTCTTATTCTCTTTTATTATCTCATGAACTGTAACGTATAGAAGGGATATGCAAGATCTTTTTTCCTAAATATTAATTCAGAATTAACCTTTCTACATTGTTGAGTTTCAAAATTCATTTTTTTTTTGCCCTCCATTAATTACCATATGATGTAGCCAAGGTAGAGTTTGCTATGACTTATTTTATGATGGATCTTCTTTCCCTTTTTGATGAAATGACACTTGCCAGAAGTGGTGTGTTATTTTTATTGAAGCTCCCTACTTATCAGGTCTATGCTACCTTGAGAGCTGAATGCCTTGCCATAAACATGTAACTTTTGGAACTGTCTAAATCACCTGCAAACAAAAAAAATGGGACAGATTACAGTTATAAACCTTGTGGTTTCACCAGATTGCAATTCAAACTGTGGTTTCTTTTATGACAGTTTACTACCTTGTGTTTGGTTTTCTTATTATTTTATATAAAACTTTAGTGTTTTAAGTTACAATTTTATAACTTTCTGTGGTTGCTCTCCTAATTGTGATTTGTTTACCATTAAAATTTCACTCATTCGTGTTTAGAAGCCTAAACAGATGCCCTTTATGGTAAATTTCTAGCTAGGAAACTAGTACATCCCTTTAATGTTAAGAAACTATATTTGATTTATATTGTTGTTAAACTGTGATCTACAGGTATATCCAACTTCAGTGAGATCAACTGGTGTTGGAGTGGCTAGCTCGGTAGGAAGAATTGGTGGAATGCTTTGCCCTCTAGTGGCCATAGGCTTAATACAAGGATGTCATCGAGTTGCAGCAATTATTTTGTTCGGGGCTGTAAGTTTCCTGTCAGGGATTTGTATATTGCTTTTTCCATTTGAAACCAAGGGACGTGATTTGAGTGATACGGTTTCTGGTACAAAACAAATAGATCCACCGAAAAAGCAAAAGCAACTCCCTTTACAAGTCTAAATGCTAAATTGCCTGCCAGTCCATATAATACATGATTGATTCTTCACAGGAAAAAAGAAGTTTTTGGTCTGAGTGCTTTCCTCTTTATGCTCAATGAGATCTTAAATTAGAATAGTTTTAGTATTGAGGAAGATTTTTGTAATGACAATTATCTTTAATATATTTAGGTTATTTGGGTAGGTTTCGATTTCTATCAGAGAGTTAGAAATTTTTCATTTCACTTTTAATTACTTTGATATTTTCTTTATTACTTGTAAATAAGGTTGAAATCAGTGCCAATATAGAGACCACTAACATAGACAGTAATGGAGAATGTTGAATTGAAAACTCTTACTATAGTTTATCTAATCTTGTTCTTTTCTTGTAACTCTTGTTTCTTCTAACCTACTTATTTTGATTTTGTCTATTTCTCTCTATATTTCTCCACTTGTCTTTGATTTTTCTCCGTGCCTCGCTATCTTTTTCTTTACTTACGAAATTTTCTTTAGTTGAATATTATCCTGCAAGAAAGTTGGCTTCAAATCCTACATATCATATGTTTCTTCTAGTTTTCTTATCTTTCTTTGTTCGGGTTATAAGGGTTGCCTATTATAGATATCGTGTAGGTTCAAGTGAATTTTGTGTTATAAAGAATGAAGAATGTGCATTCCTCGGAGCCTTCAAAACAGACAGTTCTGTGTGTGAAAAGTGAAACCGAGTTTGAAGTGTACTAATGATGTCGTGATGTTTTCCTTGCTGAAAATTTTTATTAAAACATATATTAACTGGATTATATCATAAACTATCCGGGTGAGGTGATCTATTAACTTGATGGTTTGTGATAACTTGATGTTTGAAATGGACTGGTGTGGAAGTTATTTGGTCCTCACAATCACATATCAAGTAGAATATATTAAGTAGAAACTGATGACTGAATGGGAAAAATATAGTGATGATCAACATTACCTCTATTTCTTTTCCTCTTAAAAGGTTTCTAAATTTGAAGCTGTAAATATTAAAAAGAAAAAAATACTCATAATTACATTATAGACTCAAATGGTCATTTTTTTTTTTCCCGTAATTAATTTAGGGTAACAGGATATATATGCTGGGTCGATACGGGACTCGGACTCTGTTTTATGAGTCTCGAACGAAAGAACAGATTACTGAAATGGTGAAAAGGAAGAGAAATGATATGTTTTTCAAAATAATTTGGATGCTCAAATTGAGAGAAACTTATTGGATTGAAAGGAATATGTAGTTTTTACTATTGTATATTTATTTTCTGTTTTAAATGTATAAGTCA